AGGACTGAAGAACATCCGGGGCTTAACACACGCACACACACACACGCACACACACACACGCACACACACACACACACACACGTGACACGCACTAGTCAACATCATATATATGTATGTCTTGTACCACATAATTTTTAATCTGAAGCTACATATTAAGCATTTTCAGGGCAGAGTATTGTTCCTGTTAGTGTTTAGTGTGAGATGATAGTAAATATTCCCTTTCTTTCTCCAGCAACTTTACCTGATAAGCTAACTTTAGGCAAACCAGCAGCACAACAAATATTTTCAAATAAGACTCACAAACCTGAGTCAACACCAGTATCATCAAAGCTGGGGTTCTGTCGTACTTTTTGTCTAAAAAAGGTCCTTATGTCCATCTTCACACATGCGTTTCAGGCAGAGACTGTAGAAGAAGCCGGTGTCGGTACAAGATCTGCTCGGGTGCAAGATCGGCTCGGGTCCGTCGACTGCCGATGACGTCTAAGTAGTTGATTGGCTGAACATGACCTTACGGAATTACGTAATCACGTAACGTTGTTATCACGTGACGTTGGTCCAGGCAAATTTTTTTCTATTGGAAAGATGGACAACTTTTACAAAGAAATCCATCATTACCTCTTTGAAAATACACTTTTAGCATAGAGCTGCAAGTATAATAGGGCTGAACGATTAACTGCATGTGCAATGAAATTGCGATGTGACAAAAGAAGATTTTCTAATGGCAAAGGCTGCAATTTGGCAGCGAGTGGTTAGCGCAATGCTAATATACATGGAAAAACCCATAGGAATGCTAATGCTAATATCGCAGATTACATTATTACAAATTATGAATTAGAAACGTGCCAAATAATTACATTTGGAGTCTAATAGAAAGTAAAAATACCATCAATCAAATAAGTACAGACAGGTATTTTAGTAAAGCCAGGAGATTTTCTAATCTCAAAGGCTGCAATTTGGCAGCGAGTGGTTAGCGCAATGCTAATATACATGGAAAAACCCATAGGAATGCTAATGCTAATATCGCCGATTACATTATTGCAAATAATGAATTACAAACGTGCCAAATGATTACATTTGGAGTCTAATAGAAAGTAAAAATACCATCAATCAAATAAGTACAGACAGGTTTTTTAGTAAAGCCAGAAAACTTTTAACTCCAGAGTTTTGGCTAGCAGCTACAGTCTATGACAAGATGTCAAAAACTCTAAACACAAAATACTTAAATAAACGGGACACACTTCTTTCCTGCAAATTTCACAGGTGTTGCTAATACCTATGATTCTTCAAGGGATGTGCTCAAAGAGGAGTTCAACATTATGAATAAGATATAGTGTTTTATTTTACAAATACCATTATAAACACAAACTTACATCTTAAGAAACGTTATTTTAATAACGAAAGTGCTAAATTCTTTCCAACAGTATAGACGTGTAGTGTATTTTGTCCGAGTCGGTTTGCCGTACTTTGACGTCATCGGCAGTCGAAGGACCCCGAGCCGATCTTGCACCCGAGCAGATACTGTACCGACACCGGCTGCTGAAGGGCTTCTTCTTCTGTGGTGGAGGCTCAGGCAGGCTGTATACAAACTACTGCCAGCTGCTCCCTCTCTGTTGGGCTTTGGTACTGCATGTTACTTCCACGATTTAGATCCGGGGCTTTCTATGAAACATCCGGGGCTTCAGCCCAAGTAGCCGGGCCTAACGCCGCCCCTGGTCCTGTGTGAAAAAGTAACCGTCCTTGAATTGTAATGACCAGTTTTGAATTTTCTTGATGGCAACAACTGCAATCATGCATTTGTGATGACTGGTAATGAGTCTCTGACATAACCGTGGAGGAATTCTGGTTTGCTCTTCTTACCAGATTGTTTTCTTTCAGCCACACAGAGGGCAAAAAATGGCCTGCTTACGGTCAAAGGTCAGACATTTTCCTTCAGGATATTGTGCTAGAAATTAGGATTCATTGTTCCATCAAGAAGGCAGCCTCAAACCATCACATCACCACCTGTTAGCACAATGTTCTTGTTCTGAAATTAAGTCAATAGTAAGACGGGCTTTTGTGTTACTTTCTGGCCTTAGAACACTCACGGGAATGCCCACCCCATTATTCAATTGTGACCTCTGACCTTTACCTTCTTTATTTATTTCATTTGAGCGGAAAATAATGTGTTACGTTTTGAGACCTTTTAGCCAAACTATCAGACACGGCTTATTGAAATCATATCTTCCTTCTACAGCTCTGGAAGTACTCAGGCCTGTGTGTCTGGTACGTTTTCACATAGGACTCATAGTTCAAACACCTTCTTCTTTAATAATCCATCATATGAAAATAGCTTCTTGTATTTACTCAGCTTGTCATTGTCTGATATTGAATTTTGACATTCAAGCATGACATCACATCAAAAACAGAAGAAATCTGTGGGTGAAAACTATAAAAACCTGCATTTTCTCTACAACTAGTATCTGTGGTATCAGAGCGCCACTCGCATCTATTACAGTCATGTGAACAAACGCTCGTCTTGACCGTGTCCGGAGGTGTGTTCGTTCACCGGTTCTTCGGAACGTTCTTTGGTTCATTTGCACCTTTGTTGTATCTGCCTCCGCTCCACCTGATTCCAATCTGATTTCTGTCTCTCAGCCCTCCCCTTCCTCCTCCTCCACCTCCTCCCTCCCTGCATCCCTTGCTGCACCTTATCAGCCTCTCTCCATCTATCCAAATTTTCTTTATTGGCATGACAGGGCTGGTGGTTGGCGACAGCCACCGTCACGCTGGAACAATGCATTGTGATGCTCATATTCATATGTTAATGCCATCAGACTTGAAACTGCTGCAGATACAGTTAGATAGCCAATCTTATGCTTTTTTCTTTCCTTTTTGTCTCTTTCTGCACCACTCAAATGGTTTTTAATCTACTCTTCTTTTTATACATTATTAAGGCTCTGATTTCTCAGCCATCATCTCTTCAAGCATGTCTTTAACATCCTTTCCCCCTCTTTACCGTCACGTTGGCAATCAAATTAAATCATTTTCATTCACACGCTCCCTGACAATGCTTTTTCTGATGCTGCCCAGTTTGTAACAGCATTGTATATTTCTCTCCGTCTGTCTCTTCCTTTCTCTGTCTGCCTCCTTTTTTCATTTTTTTGCTCTTCGCCATGTTGGCAGGGCCCAATCTACCAGCTGATATCAGCATTCCCTGGCACTGGGCCAACTGGCAACACTGCAGGAGAGAAAAAAAAGAGAGGGAGAGAGAGAGAGAGAGAGAAAGGGAGCGAATGAAAGAAAATTAGTGAATAATGGACGATGGGAGGGGTGCGGGAGAATGAGAGGGGGATGGGAGAAGTATGAATCAGGGAGAGAAAGAAAGACAGACAGAAGGGAAGGGAAGATGGGGAGAGAAAGAACAATAATGGTGGATTAAGGAAAGGAGCTGTGTGTGTGATTGATATGGTGTGATATCCCTGCGAGTCATAAGCTGAGCTAAAATGTCAACTGGCTACATGAGAATCTCTTTGTCATCCAGCCTCAGTGACACACACAGAGTAGACACCCATCCACCGGATCAAATAAACACACACACACACACACACACACACACACACACACACACACACACACACACACACACACGATGACACACCTGCAAACACAGATGTCCTATTGTTTTGCCACAGTGACTAATGACCTTTTGTTTTGTTGTGCAAGCCGTCGCAGCTCCCTAACTTCACCGAACGATTGGTTAAAAAGAAGAAGAAAAAATGGTCTGAATGTGCATAAATCCTGTCAAACAGCTGCAGACTCCAAATATTTGGGTGTGTGAGAGTGTGTCTGCCAAAATACTTGTGCATTCAATATGCTGTATATCACACTGTACATTTTAGCTGACGGTGTTAGCCGTGGTGAGGGTTGCAGTGCAGCCGACACAATAGTAAAATATGCTTACATTAGTAAATCAACCAATAAAAAAGCAGTCATGAGTAAGCAAAGTACGGGTGAATGCAACCACACCCAAGCAGCAGACCTAACAAACAGGGTTGAGTTTAAATGTGTGTATGACATAAACCAGTGTGTGTGTCCGTATTTAAGCTGCTACTGTATGTGTATACAGGAAGGGTGTGTGGGGAAGTCAAAACGTTGCGCACCCATCCTGTTTAGGACAGTCTGTGTCCCGTGGTGGTGCCCTTAACTTCTAAACACACATACACACACACACACACAGATACACACCGACGCACAGCCACACTCCGGATAATCATCCCATATGTGCTACCAGTATGCTAGAGTGTACGGTGAACACATGTAGGAGGCAGAACAGGTGCACACCTGTTACACATTCAGGCATACACACACACACACGCGCCTATGCCCACGCAGGCTGAGGAGTAAATGAAGATCAGATGAAGAGCTTCTTTTATGTACATACATGCAAAACGGTGCTGCGATGAGTGTGAATGTCATGGTTTTGTTAGATGGAGCACGCTCAAAGTGTTTAAGTGCAAATTGCCTTTAATCTTGTTTAGTAAAAATTCTGCCGCCTCCAGTTCTCTGTGCAGTTTTTCAAAAGCATTGGCTCCTACATTCATAATACCACCAATTTACCTACAGCATGTACTTAGGTAATTGCCTCATTAAAGGGATCATGTGTATGTTTTCTTTTTCATCTGGCCAGACATCTTATATATCGTTATTATAATAATTTATTATTATTATTATTAAACCTCTGGAAACCTCGAGTCCTCAGAATTCTGTTTTGATCAAATTAAGAGCTTTTATTATTCTCAGAAACCTGACTTCAATTTAAAGTGAGTAAAAGCTATGACTAACACATTAAATTATTGTTTTTATGTTTATTTGTTTAAGTCCTACCCATCCCAGATAGCTAAATGAAATAAAAAATACACCACAAACAAAATCTAAGGTCTTACGAGGTGGATGTAAATGTGCTGGTATTGAGATATCGGTGTTTGGTCTGACTTTTGACATGCGCTTATTTCTATCCCCAGGAAATTATAGGAGAAGGCTGCATCAGAAGATTCCCCCCCCTCAACCGAGACACTAAAGAATGGCATAACTTCCCACACACTGCTGGTAAATCCCTTCTTCCTCTAAAACTTTGGAGTATATTTAGTTTTACTGTAAAAACTGCTCATTAATTGGGGTTTGTATGGCAAGTCATACATATTTCACCATTTACCTTTAACTGTAACATGTTCACTGTCCCTCTCTTCCCTTTCCTTTGTGATAGACAATGGATTCTCCACCAGAGTGTGTGCTGTCTCTTTCTTGTGAGCAGCCCCAGTCTCCCCCAACGCTCCCATCTCTGGACCACAGTCCCCAAGCCTCCTCTCCTCTACCCCACAGCCCCGTTGTCCTGCCTATTAACAGCCCAAAGCTTTACCCACAGAGCCCTGACACTACGCCATATTTCTCCCTCTCTCCCTGCCCTCCCCTTCAAGAGGACAGTAATAACAATTGCCTTGATGTTGATGAAGAAGACTGTGAAGAAGAGCTGGATGGAATCCCTTCTTCCCCGACCCCAGCAGTGGCATTGTTCCCGGTAGGAGGTGGTCAAGAAGCTGGGTGCAGCCCTAGTTTTGATTCCTCCCCTCCAGACACACCTTCAGCTCCATTTCTTGGGTATGGTGCCCTGGAGATGGCCCTTTCTTCTGGGCAGAATCGAAACTGCAGCGATGAGCTAGACCTCCAGCTTTTCCAAAGGGAAACTGTCACGAGGGCCATACCAGGACCTGGAGGAGCCTCATCTGGGCCTGCCCTAAAGTTTCCCTGCCATGTCTGTGGGAAGAGATTCCGATTCCAAAGCATTTTGTCTCTTCATGCTCGAGCTCACAGTCTGGACAGAGATCGCAGAGCTTCTACCCTATACCGATCTAGAGCACCCTCATCTCCCTTGAAACAGCACCTCAAGCATCAGCCAAACCACAATGACTTAATCCCGAATCACAGAAGTCATCCTAATAAGCGTTTACTGCCAAGAACTCTCATCCAGCACCTCACAGAAGAAGAGGATGTTAATGATGATAAAGGTCTAAATGAGGATCTAAAGACAGTCCAGAACCCAAACTTTTCACTGGATGACAGCACGCCTTTGACCCCTCCACTCACTGAGGACCCAGTGTCTGTTACCTCTCCATACTCTACCACTGGTGAGGGGGCGGCTGTTTCCACTGCACCTACATTTCGCTGCCATGCCTGCAAGGGAAAGTTTCGCACAGCTTCAGAATTGGCACGTCATGTTAGCATTCTCCACAATCCTTATAAATGCACTCTTTGTCCTTTCTCTGCAAGCCAAGAAGAGAGTCTGGCAAGTCACTTGCAAGAGTGCCACCCTTCACCCGAGGCACCTGCGTTGACAACAGCCTTCAATTGCAGGACCATCACTGACACACCAGTTCCCACCCCAACACACACACCAGCCCCAACCCCAAGTAACACTCAGATGCCATCAGCTGCATCCCCCGCACTGCCAGCGTTTCGTTGTGATACGTGTGGCCAGAGATTTACCCAGTCTTGGTTCCTGAAAGGACACATGCGAAAGCACAAGGACTCTTTGGACCATAAGTGCCAGGTTTGTGGCCGTGGTTTCAAGGAGCCTTGGTTTCTCAAAAACCACATGAAAGTTCATCTCAACAAGCTTGGCCTGAAGGCTGGCTTGGGAAGCCCTGGAGTACTGGCAGGTGGTGACGAGCATTCCAAAAGCTCTGCTAGCAGTCAGTCGTTCAACAGTCTCTATTCAAGCCTCCTTCTGGCTCAGCGAGGAGAACAAGTCAGAGGTAGACAGAAAATATCTGATAGAGAAACTGGAGGCAGAGTTGATATGAGCTTAAGCAAGTCAGCCATTCTGGGATATCTTGGCTTACCCAGTGATGGCAGTGGTGCCAGTTGCATGGAGAGACTTCAAGCAGTGGCTCAGGTGGCAGAGATGGGAAATAGTGGTGGTGTTGGCAACTCAGGAGGAGGAGACCAAGTTAGTGGAGGAGTAACCATAAGAGGAGATGAAAGTACAGCAACCATTTCAGAAGGAGGGGACCAGTCAACTTGGTGGCAGTTGGTTGCTCGAAGTTTGGCAGTTGCTCAGCAGCAACAGCAGAGGCCCCAGCAGCGAGGTCATCAGCAAGGTCAACGATCCCAAAATCGAAGTTCGGTGATTGCTGAGGCAGACCAAGTCAGGGCCTATCGGTCAACCCTGGACCCAAGAGGGGAGACAGGAGGGCCTTGGGAATGCCCAGACTGTGGCAAGCTGTTCCGCAGCCTACAACAGGTGGTGGTGCATGCTCGCGTTCATGCTCAGAGGTCACAGAAAGGAGGCAGCAGCGAAGAGGAGGGGACTGGTAGTCGTAGGGCAATGGGGCTGGGACGACGAGGTGGAAGTGAAGCGAGACCAGAACTTCATCATGGTGGATCCCCGCAAATGCGAGACGCGAGACAGGAATCCAAACCAAACAGTGGTGGATCTCAGCAAGCAGGAGCAGTCACAGGCTTTCATACTGCCATGTCAAACTTTAAAGGTATACTTTTCTTGTTGCCTTTTTGGTTTTGTTTTCCTGTGCACATCTAATGTTGCTGATTCCTGAAACTTACTATTGCTTTGCTGTTTTGTTTAGAAGATCTCTTGGGTCCCACCACTTGGGCCACACCAACTGTTAGGTTTACATTTTCTCTCCCCTTTTTCCTTCCAATTTCAGGTGAAAATGGCTTCACGGCAGTCTCCTCCTTGCCCTCAGTTCCCACCAGGGAGCGAGTGCGTGGCAGAGGGATAAAAGACTGCCCCTACTGTGGCAAAGCTTTCCGCTCTTCGCACCATCTCAAAGTGCACCTGAGAGTTCACACAGGTGAGCCACTGCTGAGTTTAACAAGCCACACCGGCTTTTTTTTCAACCCTTAGAAATCCCTGGAAAGGTTTCATTGAGCTTAGTCACTTAAGCAGAACTACCGCTTTATTTTCTCACATTTACTCCAGAGAGAAGGCCAGCACTAATCAGCTGTCTACTGCAGGAAACTGAGCAGCTCCACTGGAGCACTACCTGCTTAAGCGTTGACCTGGAGTTTATAGTAACAATGGAAAAAAAACACTCTGGAGATATAAAACTAGAAAGTAGCTCACTACTGTTACTGATATATACCTAAAATCAAGGTCCAAAACTACTCAAACAATGCCAGTTTTCCCAAAATTACTATACCCAATAAAGACATTTCCAGCAGATAAAGCTAAAAACTACAAAGTTTGGGATTTTGTATTCAGACATACTAGAGATTTGAGTGAATTAGTCTTTTAGTAAAAGTTTGAGTGTATTGAAAGATATTAAATATGATTGGTGACTAGTTTAATTACTGTTTAAACAGAATTTTCTACATTCATTTCTTTTCATCTTTTAATATAAATGATTAAATTTATTTGGACAGAATAAAAATGTTTGTTTCTATTTTATAGGATTATACACAGGCTGGTATCCAGCTCATATCCAAATACAAATTGCACTTTTATCTTATTATATTTTACTTCACTATAAATTTCTTTCCATCTTGTTTTTTGCTATTTTTCATGAAAGCCACATGTAAAAGTAAAAGTATCACCGATCATTAACTTTTCAAGCAAATATTACCCTTGCTTTTTGTTCCAACAGCAAAACACACCGATCATCCAATGATTAATATCTATTTTATATTTGTTTCTATGCTGTGAACAGGATCCTTTACACTTGTTACTACATATGATACACATTTTGTTGTTGAAATTTAACACCTGGGTTTTTCTCAGCTGTGGGATTTTATCTGTAATGCAATGCTGCCATCTTCCTTTAAATTGCATAACTACAGCAGCTGTGACACACCAACAAATAAATCTAATATATCAGCAGTCTAGCGCGCTAGCCACTCAACTACTCTATTCTATTAAGAGTGTGTGTGTGTTATTTTTATAAATTTGGATTTCTTTTTGGACTTTGGTTTAATTTTCTTAATTCAAAATTTGGATACAAACACTAATTGATAGATATTTAGAAATGGCAATGCAAAGAAACCCTTTGGTTTGCATTTTTATTGTTTAATAGTTCTAAGGATGAAAAGCTATGTATCATGTATAGTAAAGATACTTTAGTGTGGGATAAAATAATGGTATTAGAAATAAATGACATTTTCAAGAATTACTTTTAGAAAATGACAATATTGCACAACCAGTATAGTCAGCAACATAAATGGGGTTTCTAGATAATAATAATAATAATAATAATAATAATAATAATAATAATAATAATAATAATAATAATAATAATAATAATAATAATAATAATAATATTTTCCGGTCACAATAAATCTTTCTGTCTGTTGGAAAAATAACTCTGTGTTTAACACCGTACATGTAATAAACAAAAAATAACGTAATAAGATAAGCAAAAGCAAAAATATGATGTCAGTTGGTGTTTTTACAAGCAGAAATGAGGATTATTTAATCAACCTAAAACATATTTAAATTTTCTTTCTAATTTAAGAATATATAAATGTCTGTGGACCTTATTGTAAAAACCTTTCAAAATAATTTGTGTTGCAGTTTACTTCCAGGCAATTAAAGATACTATGTAGAAATGATAATGTGAATATCCTGGGATTTTAGTAGTTTTATCAGTGAATTGCAGACTAATACCTTTATGGTGGTGGCAGGGGAGTTACGTGTCTGCCCTGTAACCGGAGAGTTGTATCTTCGAGCCCCGTCTGTTGCAGTAGTTGTATCCTTGGGCAGGTACTTAACCCACCTTTCTTGCTGGTGGTGGTCGGAGGGACCGCTGGAATCTGTGCACAGCAGCCTCGTCTCTATCAGTGCTCCCCAGGGCACTTGTAGCTATGATGTAGCCCATCACCACCAGCGTGTGAATTAGTGTGCGTGTGTGAATGACTAATTGGGTTGCAAAGTGCCTTGGGGGGCTGAAGAGTTCTTGAAGGTGCTATACCCTTTTACTATGATAAGACATACAAACTTTACCTTCAAGACCAAGGCTCGGAATATGAGTTTGCGCTAAAACATCTACACAGCAATTGGTGTAAACCTGAAATGCCTTCTTATTTATTGTCCTTTTTCATTTGCTGGCTATAATTTGGGCTTTTCTTTTGTAAAAATTGGGAGCTTGATATTAATAAATGATACTAATATTGATTGATTGAGTCTGATGTTGCTTGTCTCTTAATTTGTAGGTGAGAGACCGTATAAATGCCCTCACTGTGACTATGCAGGCACTCAGTCGGGCTCTCTGAAGTACCACCTCCAGCGGCACCACAGGGAGCAACGCAATGCCTTATCAGCCTCCTCCAATTCTTCCTCTGGTTTTACTTCCACAATCAACACTTTGACATCTGGAGCTTCTGGACCGGGCAAGCAGCGTCGAGCTCAACTCAATCACTGCCCAATCAATCGAGGCCCAGCTGATGCTCCTGTATCACGGCCCAGCCAGCAGACCTGGCTTCTAGGTCTTCCAGACCAACGGGAGCATCGGAAGGCTTTAGCAGCCTTAAGAGATATTGACTTGGAGACCCAGTACAGATATCTGTCAGGGGTGATGGGAGCCCTTTACCAGGGTGGAATGGAAGGAAGCTGGATCAGGGAGTCTCCCCCACCAAAGACCCTTAAAGTGTCTCGGCGTAAGCCTCTCACTACAAGCCGAATGGTCCAGCCACCAAGTGATAAGGATAGAGCTGTTTCATCAAATCAGGATGGTGGGTTTGAACCTTTGGACCTTTCTCGACGCACCTCACCCAACCTTGGGGGGATAGAGGAGAATGAAAGCTTTAGCGTAGGGGATGGAGGAGCTGTATGCGGTGGGGACGGTGAGAGGGAGAGTTCAATGGGTGTTAAACTGAGCCAATGTTTGTTCTGCCCTTTTCATACGTCATCAGCAGAGCTGATGGCCATGCATCTTCAAGTGAACCACACCAGTAAGTCCAGGCGTAAGAGGCGCTCCTCAACTTTCATGAATGATGGTGGAGCTCAAAGGGCGATTAAGCCACGAATGGAGAACCCTGACTTTAACCCTCTGAGAATTTGGAGTCATGTCAATGAGGTCCAGACCCTTAACGGTCACCCCGAGCCTACAGCAGAGCATCTGGACGATGCTCTTCACCACCCGGAGTCCCTGGCCTTTGTGTCAAATAATGTAAGAGATGACGCAACTGTGAAAGAGAAGGAAGAGGATGAGAGAGATGAACACGAGGAGGAGTTTGAAGAAAATTTGGACAACAGCAGTGTGGAGGATTTGCAAGACCGAGACCTGAGGATGTCTCTGGATTTTTCACCAGCTTTGAGTTCTGCCCACATGACAACGGAGGAAGAACGAGCTCTTTCAGATTAAAGTTTTATTTAATGACCCCTTTTAAACTGGATAACTAAACGTGTTTGATGCAAATGGCACAAGACTGGAGACCGGACGTGTCACTGAGAGACAAGGAACTGACTGCTAATTGAAGCTTGGAACCCTTCTTACTATTGTTTTCTGACATTTTGAGAAAGAACACAAAGAAGAAGAAACATGGTTGTGAAGATTCTGGCATCACGTGTCTACTTGAGTTGTGATTGTCGATTGCAATTCATACCTAAATTCAAAAACCTGTACAAAGAAAAGTGCATGGATGCCACTTTTTTGGATTTTTGTAGGTCACTTTTGTATTTTCCTCCCCCTAAGATCTGCTCCAAGGCGTGTGCTTTCTAAGGTTATGTTCAATTTCATAAACATCTGTTTAGGTCTTGAGGGAAGTCCTACATCATACCTGAGTCAAATATTTCAACCACAGGAGCAGTATTATTTGTTGACTACCATATTAGCCAAGTGTAAGCCAACTCTCCTGAATGACCACTGAACAGTCAGGACACTGTCAGCTTCAGGTTCCTTCTCAAAGTGGGGCCAGGGGGTGCTTCAATGCTATTGGCTGTTAATTTAAAGCATGAGGTAACTGTTCCCTTGATATGTATCACTGCCTTGTTTTTCTTCAAAGTGTTTCTCAATGACTGTCCTAAAGAAAAACAAATAGAAGATTTTGTAATTTTTTTGTTGTTATCAGTTAGTGCCTGTTCACGTATGTTGTCGAAAGAGTCTTTGGCAGATAGATCTTTCATTTTATCGGATTATACATTAACAAACAATTTAAGTACAATATATTTGTTTAAAGTGGTTCTAGGGTGTTGTGAATAGTTACGTTGTAAAAGATATGCTACAAAATAGCGTAATGTTTGTGGTACAGACTCTAGATGTCTGTATCTTTGTTTGAAAAGACTAAAAAAACGTAGACGATATAATGTGATTTTAATGCTGAGTGAAAGAAAGACGTTACTGTTCAGAATTTTGTGTTTATGTGTTATCGCGTTGTGATTCATCGACGCAAACAAATCACGAAGATAGGGTGTTTTTGAGAGGGGGAGGGCTGACACTCGAGCTCCTGAACACAATCAGCTGGCACGTTGTTCTAAAGAGACTTTAACAACCATGTCATCTACATGACGACACTTTTTCATCTAAGATATGAACTAGAAAACGGAAATACAAGACTGAATCTCTGCCAGATGAGACTAAATTTGAGAGATGTGTACGTTTTGGTTCTGGTGTCTTTTAGATGAGTAGATTCCCTCTTTTCTGTTTGTTTCTTTAAAATATAAAACAAAAAGAAATGGTAGGAGTAATTATTAAAACACTAACACACGCATAGACATCCCAGTAGAATATGTGTAGCTTTTGTAAAGACAAGAAAAGCAAACAGAATTTTGTTTATTTTCATTTCAAGATGCTTACAGAAAAAGGTTATCAATATAAGTAATATTGATTATAATGTTTGTGAGCTAAGAATAGTTGGAATGTCTATACAGAGCACTGTGCAAGGTTTGAGTTCCCTAAGTAGTTGTTTTTTGACTATCCATAGACCAAACTTTTTATTTTTATTTTACAATGGCAGTTGTCACTTTCTGTTGTCATTTTAAATGTATAAATGTGTGGTTTTTATTAGATTTACCCCACCCATTAGCAAACAATTGATCAGTGTCATATATTTATATTATTGAATCAATGAGATAAATTTAAAAAAATCTAAGTGTCATTTTGTGGAAAAAAAGAACACAATCTACTGCTACAGACTATGAAAAATACAATATTTTAGCATGAATTCTTGTGATTTGAAGGTATTTTCATGTAAAAGACCAGTCATTTCTGTCCCTTCACACTGGCTAACTTCCACAATTTATCTGATGGGGTATAGAGTTACTGGAACCACATTATTGTTTTTAAAGTCTGTTTTTCTTTTTTGTTGTTTTAGAGCACCTTATGAGTTTCGTAGTGTAAAGTCCCTTAGTGGTGTCTCCCAAACAACTACTATCAATGCCACTGTGCCTTCTGTTTCAAGCACTTCCTGGTGTATTTTGTAAAACTCACCAAAAGCACTTAGCCTACATCTACACACTTTCTCCCATTTCACATCTACTTAATTTTTTTCCTGTCCTCCATCACACTGACTAATTTTCTTAATCTTTTTCTCCTGACTGACCTATTCTCTGGTGGAATGCTGTTTTCACGTTAGTGTCTCCTGCTCATCAGGCCCAAAAGGCCTTAAACAAGGTCGCTAGGCCTGATTGTTAGCTGCTAGCATGGCTAGTCTTGAAAAACAATGAACAACATAAAAAACTTAAAATAATAGTTTAGATCTTTTATAGGTAGCCTACGTCATGACCATGTACTTCCGGACCATGGGTCCCCAAAGAATGAAAAAATGAATGCAAGTCAATGGGGCTAAAAACGCTATTTGTTAATTCCGTTTGTTATGTCCCATGGATTTCACGTAAGATGTCAGTGGAATTTAAAGACGCATTTTGATACCAACAACGCTTATTTTTGAACCGGGGGAAACATTTTAGGTTATGTGTTTTAAGGTCCAGGGGCCCCATTTATAAAGCTTGCTTACGGCCAAAACGGGGTCGGAAAACTGTGTTTGAAACTTTCCACTCAAACTTTGGGATTTATAAAAGAAAACTTAGCGGAAAAATGTGCGCAACTTTAAGTTGACTAAGGACCTGGCTTATGCACATTTTGGACATGGAGAGCACCTGCATTCTGGGGATCGAATCCTGATCGGACAATTTTTCATATCTGCCACAGATCTCTCTGAAGAGCTTACAGCATCGACAGCTTCAGCAACGCTGTGCCATTCTGTGGATTTTCTCTTATTTGTTTTGCAAAAGCACTTCCTTTCATTTCTCCACCTAACCCACAGGTACCTCAATTTCTGCTTGTGAAATAGCGCTTCCTTGATCTGCGGTGGCGATTGAAACGCTGCAACGAGCCAGCTTATGTATATGCATGAGATCCACAAGGCACTTTGCATTGACCATTTGTGGCAGAAAGTGGGTGTGTTGAGGGCGGGATGTGACTAAAACGCAGTTGAGAATCTTTCTCATTAGTCTCTGATTTATAAATCGGAGATTGCGTGCAGCTGTGCGTACGCCATGTTTTATAGGTCACAAACCTACTTGGCGTAAGTAATTTTTTTTGCTGAGCTTAATCACGGTTTTAGTAAGGATTCTACGCAACGTTTTATAACTGAGACCCCAGGGCCACAAATGCACATCACCAAAGTGACGTCATTGAACCAGACATGGAGAAAGGGGAAATGGCTGTAAGTTCAGCAAATTTCAAGTCATTCCTTCAGGAGGAAAGAACCACCATAAATATGGTCATGTGGTACGTAGCAGCTACGCTAGGCATGAGGAGATACTATGGTGGCATCATATATGCGACATGCCGATGTCTTATTTGTAGTCATGCTAATTACAAACTTTTACAAGCTGATAAATCTCAAAGTATGTGACTGGGATGGTCGAAACACACATCATTACTTTTCATTTAAATTGCAGTACAACATATATGTGATCAGGGCATAAGGCAAAGCCAATTAGAAAATAGCTCTTTTAGTCCCACTGACTTGCATTCATTTTTTCGTTCTTTCAGGGACCCATGAGCAGACTGGAAAGGGAGGAGACGTAGGCTCCCTATAGTTATAAATAACAAAATACGCTAAAGTAACACTAAGCACTTTCCTTCTCCTTCGCCCTATTGGTTGAAAGTGGAATTACCAATGTTGTAAACCCTGCAACAGCCTGCTGTAGCTAGCCCTAACAACGAGCTAACAGAAGCATGAGCCAACTAATACTAAAACAAACCACAAAGGAAAAACATCCACACTGTTGGACAAAAAATATTATTACTTACAAGACTAGTAGCATCAAAGCCAGGTCACCATCGGTCCTTGATTTTGTAGCCTCCTTTAGCTCCCTCAAACTAGTGTAGGCCATGCTGATGGTTTTAGCTCTTTGTTTCACCTCCAAAGACACACTTACTTTTACTTCCAGGCTCCGCCGTGATGGCAACAAAAAAAAAAGAAAAATTATTCTTCTTGTGCTTTTTATTGACGCTCAGCGAAATGAAAATGCTAACTGCTAGCATAACAGGTAACAGTCATTATGCAGGAAAAGAGCTCCCCCTATAGGGCACCTGCCTGCGGCTGCAGAGAGCTGTTCAGGGCGAAGATGGTGAAGTGTGTACTCACACAGTCACTTAAACCCCTTTGAACGAATTTAGCTTAAAGTGTTAAAACTGTTTAGTGTTACTTTAATTCAAACAAATTTAATCACAGAGGTAAACTCTTCTGTACACCTTTACATTGTCATCAGTGTCTAGTTATGTGGCTTTTTGTTAAGAAATGTATGGTATTCAAGCACAGTTAGCTGTAACGCTTCTGGCAAGGATATAATTTTTTTTCTCGGAATAACATTATATAAACCGAAGACAATCTAAAGGCTTAGACTTTTTTTAGATTGGTGTTTTAGGGTGGCAGAAAGGCACTTTAGTTAGTCCTTGCTCAGACTAGTCATTAGCTAAGCTGTTGGCTCGTCTACCAGGTTAGTTTGATATTTCTGCCAATTAAACAGATTATTGAGGCAAATGTGGTCTAATTGTTTACAAGATATGCAAAAACTGCTTAGAAAATGTGTATATTGGAGGTTTTTTTTAAGATGACAGAAATGCACTAGTCTGTTTCAGACTAGCCCTTAGCTCATCCGTTTGGTCAGAAATAACCAGTAGATCCCTTCAAAGAGCTATCTACAACAAACGAGAATATAATTGTTTATGTTAGTCATCGGAAAAGATCTAAACTATCACTTTTAAGAAAATAAAAATGACAAATTGTGTGGGATTAGGCGTTATGTCTTTCACCAATGCCTTTGTTAAACCAAAGCCCAAGTCTGAGATTATTGCATATTGTTTTTAAATGTCATGAGGTGCCAAATGATGTCCAATGTGACACTAAAGGATATTAAAACTTGAGAAAACAAGAATTCACCAATTTTTGGTTCATTTTCTCCTTTTCCTGAATCTACTCCGTCTGTCCCCTGCTTTCTCCATGTCCTTCCGTCCATAAACCACCAAGTCTCCAGCACCACTTGAAGGTGACGTGTACTATCTGGTATTGAGGCCTTTATTAGTTTATTTTTTTCCAGTTTGTGTGGTGTTTGTTCTATGCCGTCGAGATGGAAAAATGCTCTTATAAGTATTATTGTTTTGGCATTATGGGTAAAAAAAGAAAAAGACAAGAAACGTGTTGTTGAATGTTGTACAGATAGCACTAGAGATGTTGTGTTTTTGTTTGTTTTTTAATTTTTTGGTTGTTCAAGAGAGCACAAACCTGAGCGATGGCCCCTTCAACTCCTCCCACTGGCAGATAGGAATCAAACTGCTAACCAGTCATTGCACTTTGGACAATAGTCTCACTAACATGAATCGGTTATTGCTCAGAATGCAAAATATATATAAAACCCCTCTAAAACGATGTGGAATCAGTGAAGGTTTGTCTTAAATTTCATCAGTAATTAGCAGATGGTGAAGCTAATTAACCCTTAAAGATTAAGCACTGTTTTATTCTCACAGCCCTTCTGATCACCACATGTTGATCAAAACATATATTTGCTATTCATCATTTTTAAAGGAAACAAACGTTCCCTGTGCACGTTTCCATGTGAAACACTTGTGAAATGACAAATCCTTGTGAGGTGAAGGTGCCACGCTGTGTTTGGGCTCTCGTGTAGTTGACTGCCATTGCAGTGAGGGAAAACTGACCTAACATAGTAGTGACTAATATAACTTTGTGGACAAATGGATAAAAAAAATAAAAAAAACAGATTAGAAATAAATACAAGCAGAATAACCGTGTGTGATTTTGTTTTGCTTTATCCACCTGGATTTACTTCCTTAATTTAGGCTTTAGTACAACTATGGAAAAAGAGACCTGTAATAACTAAAGGTTTTTGTTTCCATAACTTGTGTCAGTTGACTACACACTGAAAATTTGTCAAGTTAAAAGTCTTTTAGGACCACAAAAATATGTGGGTTAGTTAAGTCTATATTTTAATTGCTGCTGAATTTATTTATTCGTACAGCGTAGAAATTGGTCCCATCAGATGTTCGCAAGCGACCCCTGGGCTTTGAAGATGCCTGTTTTAGGGTACCCAGATCCAAACCAAGAAAAAGTGGGACATGTTAAAAATAAACACTCAATAGGCAGCATTGCCTGATTCAACCTATAAGCTATAAATGTTTTTATTTTTTAGAATTTTTCTACAAAACAGGGATTTCAATAACATTAAGTGTTTTAATAAAACAATTATTTGACTTTTTGTCAAACCAATTCGTGCCTTATGCACTGTAAGTAATTCAACGTTGATCTTACAAGTTATACCAACTGGTTCCACTAAACCAGTTATAGAGTGATTTACTTTTGCTTTTAACAACAATGTACATTACTCTTTACATTTAAAGCTACAATGACAAATTTGGAAAACAAATTAACATTTTTTTCATGCCACTTAACCTTCTAAAATAGTATAACTAAATATATTGTGGAGATTAAAAAATAAACAAAAAAATGAATGAAGTGGTTCTCTCACATTTGTCTAAAAACGCCCACCAATACTCAGACCAAGCAACTGTTGGACCATCCGGTTGTGGTTCTGGTCAAACCACCGCACTTCCCTGGGTCCTCCACTCATTACACACTGATGTATTTGGCAACAGAACACCATTGGCGTGGGAGGTTCTCCGCTCAATAATATCTGAGGCGAAACAGCCGGCTACCACTTCAACATTAGGGCAAAAACTAAAAGTCCCAAAAAGAAAAACACCATTTGAAGCCATGGACCACAAAAGATGTTTGCACCTAGAAAATGGTGACTGGTTTTTAGCACTATCTGGTTTCCTCTGGCAATGTGGGTTTCTGGTTCCCGTGGATGTGGAGCCAATGAAGATGTCCAAGGAGAGGGGTGAGTTTTCCATGACCGTTTTTGTTTACAAAACCTAGCTTGTTTGCAGATTCACTATAACAGCTTTAAATATTGATTTAGTATCATAACACAAATATTTCATTATACATTTCATTGTATTGATTTTTTTACATCTCTATCTGGAATATATGCAAAAACAAGCTTAAAGCAACTACTTTAGTTGGGCCAGTTGACATAACTTAGTTAAGGAAATTAAACATTTGATTTCTTACAGTGTAATCCAGCAATAACATTTTCATACTGAAATGATTGTTCACATGCTTAGTTAGTGTGTTTAATGGTTAGTCAGAATAGACAAAGTTCCTAACTATTGTTTTATCTAAAGTAATTCATAAACAAATTATGTGTTCTTAAAATAAAGTAATTTCAATCAAAATGGCAGAAAGAACGGTTTTTAATTTTGTGCAGCAAGAGCTTTCACTGTTTCTTCCGTCACTGGTTACAAGCCAAGTATTACAAAACCTCTTTAGAGATCATTGACCTCTGAAAACCAATCAAAATGCAGGACATCATCTGTTATCATGGGATTCAGGGTAAAGAATGAAAAGGTTGTGCAGTCCCACATCTGGTCACCTATGTTGGCTGCAGGAGTCAATTCTCTGAAGACATGCAAAGAGTAGCGCCCCCATGTGGCCATGAGCAGAACGCCAGCCCCTCATGTACCGTATTTCCACTTCAGCACAAAGGTCACCGAAGTTATTAAAATGTGTTTTGTGAAAATAAAAGATGAGTCAAATAGCTGCGAGTGAAATGAGAAATGCTGACTGTTGTGCTCTTAACATTTGTGCCACTTTCTAACGATGCAGCTACCTGCTGGGATTCAGTGAACTGTAGTAATTCATTTGAGGGTTTTTGCCTCATATTTAATTGTCTCGTGACCTATTGGGTAATTCTTATTATGCCATACTGAGAGCCTCTGATTCACAGAAGGGAGGCCGACTTAATGTGCAGGTGGCGAGTAAAAAAAAAATGCTAGCATTGTTTGGATACAATTACTTCACAGGTCAAACTTATTTAACTACAGGGTAAACAGTCCACTCCGTCTAAATGTGAAGCTTGTAGTTTCCATGTTGACAAGAGGCTTGTGTTTCACCATAAATGCTTGGGGATGTTTTAGATCTGAAACTCTGTTATTGTAGATGTTGGTCAATTACATTTAGATGCACCATCTGCTTCTTAATAGGGTCACATCAGCCTGTAGATGACAGTTTGCTGCAGCTCCAGTTCTAATGACACCTGGTGCAACAGCACCACCTGGTGGAGACATAGAACATGTCACTTCATTAAATATTATTGTCTCACAAATGTAACAGTTACTCTACCTTAAGTTACTTTTGGTAAAATGTCTTGACACCTTTCATCTCACCCTCCGCGGGTGGTCTCATCCGTCCAAGCTCGAGTCCTCTACCAGAGACCTGGGAGCTTGAGGGTTCTGGAGTATCTTAGCTGTTCCTAGAACTGCTCTTTTCTGGACTGAGATGTCTGATGTTTATCCCGGGATCTGCTTTAGCCACTCCTCCAGTTTGGGGATCACTGCCCCAATGACCACGGGCGCCACCGATGTCTTCACTCTCAAGATCTTCTCTGAGACTCTGGAACGTCTCTAGTTTTCACATGTTCCTTTTTCCTGATGTTACCATCACGTGGTATTGCCATATCAACCACAACAGCTGTCCTCTGTTGTTTGTCCACCACTTTTGTTGTTTGACCATTTTGTCAGTCTGGGTCTGGAAGTCCCACAGGAGGTTGGCTCTCTCCTTCTCTACCACCTTAGGTGGTGCTACCCACTTTGACCTTGGGGCTTCCATTCCGTACTCTGCACAGATGTTTCTGTACATGATGCCAGCTACTTGGTTGTGGCGTTCCTTGTATGCTTTCCCTGCCAGCATCTAACACCCTGCAGTTATGTGGTGGATTGTCTCAGGGGCCTCTCTGCATAGCCTACACCTTGGGTCTTGTCTGGTGTGGTAGATCTTGGCCTCTGTTGCTCTGATGGTCAGGGCCTGTTCCTGTGCAGCCACGATGAGTGCCTCAGTGCTATCCTTCAGACCTGCTCTTTCTAGCCATTGGTAGCATTTCTTGATATCAGCCTGTTCAGTGTTTTGTTTGTTTGTTTATTAAAATCCCCATTAGCCTACTGTTAAAACAGTTGCTATTCTTCCTGGGGTCATAACATCATCCAAAAAAAAAAAAAAAACATTATTCATGCATCATTACTGGGCTCACAAACAATCCATTTCACTATACAATATAAATCTCCATTATAAGAGCACACCACATTCCCCCAATACAGCACCAAAATAACATACATTTCCCGTAACATGAAACGCAAATTACTCCACACATACTGGACAACAAAACATAAAATTAATAAAACATAAAACTCATCTTCCTCAAACTCGTGTAAAGAGGGTATAAATAAATATCCGCAACCTCCTGCAAAAATCACTCCTTTGTAGCTGACCACTCAAGAATTGTGGTAAACTATTCCTTTCCACCATAGCTCTGTACAATACTGACCTATGAAGAAAATTAGTTCGACTAACTGGCAACAAAAAGCAGCCATCAGCTTGACGTGTAGCATGTTGGTGAACACCTCTAATAAATGTCAACTGATTTAAAAAATGTCTGGTGTCTGTGTATTTACAAAATTCCTAATAAATTTTACAAGTACTTTATTCTACTCCTTACACCCATCCATGCTAGAGCAGTATGCATGTCCTCACAACTCCTTCTAAAAGAACACTTTAAGACTAATCTAGCAGCTTTATTTTGTGCGACCTGTAACTTATTTAAATTAGCTTCCCTAGTAGCAGCCCAAATTACAGCACAATAGTCCAAGTGACACAAAACAATAGCTTCAACTAATACTTTTCTACTTAAATATGGAATACATTTTCTACCATTCCTCACCTTTGCCATGTTCTTTCCCATTTTAATTCAAATCTGTTTCACTTGACTATTCCAACTTAGCGTTTCATCAATTGTAAAACCCAGTAACCTAACTTCTCTAACCTGCTCAATTGGCATTTCCCTTATACATAAATGCAGTACAGGTTCTCTCAACAAATGAGGTGATCCCATCACCATACATTTATCGTAGTCTTCTCCACATTAATAGCTAACTTTTTTTCATTAATCCACCCTTCTACTAACCTCATTTCCTTTTCCAAAATAGAATTTAATTCCTCCAGATTCCTTTCCGCTACATATAAAGTCAAATCATCTGCATATAATACAATTGTGGCACACTCTAACATAAATGGAAGGTCATTTGTAAAAATTGAAAATAACAATGGTCCAAGACAACTTCCCTGCAGAACCCCACATCAAAAATTCTTCCTTTGAGAACAACTGCCATTAAACAATACCATAAACCCCCTTCCAGTTAAGTAAATTTCCACCCATTTAATAGCTGGTTCATGAAAACCATATAACCCTAATTTCATCAGTAATAGATTATGATCCACTAGATCAAATGCAGCACTCATATCCAATAATACCATTCCAGTTAGTTTTCTATTATCCATAATTCTCACCGGCCTACTATTTTTCTCAGAAAAATGCTCCTTATTATTTTTTGGAAGAGGAACAATTTTTGCCATTTTCCATTTCCCTGGACATTTATATTCTTCCAAACTCAAATTAATAATGTGAGACACCGGAATTGCAATCTCATCCACCACTAATTGCAATAACTTCACATCCAGTTCATCAGTACCAGCAGGTCTCACCTTCATTTTCTGTATACACTTCTTCACCATATCAGCTGTCACAAATTTAAATGAAAAAGAACACGATTTACTACCCACTATTTTATCTTTAATAATTTTTCCAGTCAAACCCCCTCCTAACCCTACTTTCATAT